TGGTGGATCATAGTGTTAGAACACCAATGGGAGTAGTTTAGGATGTCTTAGTCCAAGTTGATAATTTGTATTTCCCTATTGATTTTGTTGTACTTGTTACTCATCCGGTTGTTAATACTAGTTCACAAATTCTCGTCATACTAGGTAGAAATTTCTTCTACATCTAATGCTATGATTAATTGCAGGAATAGTCTAATGAAGCTTGCATTTGGGAATATGACAGTGGATCTCAATGTATTCAATTTGTGTAAACAACCGAGGGATGATGAGGAAGTTTATGAAGTCAATAGGATTGATACATTGGTAGAGGACCACTTGGAGCTATTGAGCAACTTAGAGTTTGGGGAATAAGAGGTTAATGATCAAAGGGAGCTGGAGAGTTTACAAGGGATAGAAAAATGGACCCCTACATTTGAGAAGCTTCCACATCAAGAGAAGAATATCTTTCCATCAACTGTGTAAAATCCCATCTTGGAGTTGAAGCCATTACCATCCAACCTCAAATATGTGTTCTTGGGGGATAATGAGACCTTCCTAGTGGTAATATGCTCAACTTTGGAAGTAAATCAAGAAGAGGATCGATTGAAAGTGTTAAGGAGACACAAGGGAGCAATTGGTTGGACAATTGTCAACATCAAGGGGATAAGTCCCCTTATTTGCACACACCGCATCTACCTTGAAGAAGACTCCAAGCCATCTCGAAAACCACAAAGAAGATTGAATATGATCATAAATGATGTGGTGAGGGATGATGTAATCAAACTACTTGACGTGGGCATCATCTTTTTGATTGCCAACAATAAATGGGTTAGTCCCACTCAAGTAGTACCTAAGAAATCGGGGGTCACCGTGGTTGCAAATGAGGACAGTGAGTTGATTCTAACAAGAGTAATCATCGGATGGAGAGTGTGTATCAACTATCGAAAGCTCAACTCTTAGACAAGAAAGGAAAATTTTTCTTTCCCATTCCTCGACCAAGTGTTGGAGAGAGTAGCCAGACACTTGTTCTATTGTTTCTTGGATGGATACTCCGCCTACAATCAAATTGAGATCACATTGGAAGATCAAGAAAAGACCACCTTCACTTGCCCCTTCGATACCTTTGCCTATCAACGCATGCCATTTAGGTTGTGTAATGCCCTAGGAACTTTTCAAAGATACATAATGGAAATTTTTAGTGATATGGAGGAAAAGATCGTGGAAGTCTTCATGGATGAATTTTCCATATTTAGGGATTCTTTTAAGGGTTGTTTGGGGCACTTAGAGAGAGTACTTGAGAGATACGAGGAGAAAATTTTGGTCCTCAACTAAGAGAAGTGACACTTCATGGTGACACAAGGGATAGTGCTTGGGCACATCGTTTCGGCAAAGGGGATCAAAGTTGAAAAATCCAAGGATGATGCAATTTTCAACCTACCCACACTAAAAGTTATCAAAGATATCAGGTCGTTTCTTGGCCATGCCGATTTTTACCGTCGTTTTATAAAAGATTTTAGTGCATTGGCACGACCCTTGACCAACTTTCTTTCTAAAGATGTCCCATTCATGTGGTTGTATGATTGTGAGGGCATCGTTTAAAAAACTAAAAAACATGCTCACTTCACCTCCGATTATGCGACCACCCAAGTGAGACTTACCATTTGAGCTTATGTGTGACGCGAGTGATTATGCGGTCGGCACGGTGCTTGGTCAAAGGGAAGACAAGATACCTTATGTAATATACTAAACTAGTAAACCTCTTAACGAGGCCCAAATGAATTACACTATCACTGAAAAAGAGTTGCTAGTCGTAGTATTTGTATTGGATAAATTTTGGTTTTACATCATTGGTTCACCTATTGTAGTCTACACTGATCACTCTGCTTTGAAGTATCTGTTGTTTAAGCAGGACGCAAAATCGAGACTCATTAGGTGGATACTTTTCCTACAAGAATTCAACTTGACAATCAAAGACAAAAACGGAGTGGAGAACATGGTGGTAGACCATTTATCCCGACTTGGGGTTCAAGATGCCGATGAGCATATTCCTATCCCTGACTCTTTTCCTGACAAGCATTTACTTTCTATTCATTATGTTTGTCCTTGGTATGCTAACATGTGCAATCATCTTGCTACAGGACAAATACCGCTGCACTAGAGCCTAGAGGATAGAAGGAGATTTATGGCGGATGTGAAGTACTTTTAGTTCGACAACCCATACTTGTTCAAGTATTGCCCAGATTAAGCGATGAGTAGATGCGTACCAAAAAATGAACACGAGAAGTTCTTGAATTTTGCCATTCAGAGGCTTGTGGTGGCCACTTCTCTTCATAGAAGACCTCGGCAAAGGTTTTACAGTTAGGTTTTTATTGCTCCTCTTTAATCAAAGACTGTGTTTCATTTTGTAAGGAATGCAATAGGCGCCAAAGACTGGGTAGTGTGACCCAAAGGAACATTTTGCCTCTCTCTCTTGTGCTTGTTATCAAGATATTTGACTATTGGGACATCGACTTTATGGTCCCTTCTCCATGTCTTTTAGCTACCTGTACATATTACTGGCAGTGGACTATGTGTCCAAATGGATGGCAGCTATCCCAACCAAGACCAATGACCACCAGGTCATACTCAAATTTCTCAAAGAAAACATTTTTCTGAGGTTTAGGATGCCTCATGTTATGATAAGTGATGGTGGTTCTCATTTCTCTAATAGGTCATTTGCATCTTTAATGCATAAGTATAGCATCACACAGAAGGCGTCCGCCGTATATCACCCACAGACCAATGGCCAAGCCGAGTTAGCTAATGGGTAGGGGGCCTAGGATATCGATGCCCCACTTGGAGAATGGCCAAGGGCTCATGATGGTGGTCAATTCTTCTGGCGATTGCCTTGGTATATGGCAAAGTGTTGATACTTCTCATAATGTTTCACAAACTCCCGGGCATCTGTAATCGTGTAAGGCCAGTAATAGCTTTTTTTGACTGCCTTATGAGCTAGAAAATGCCCTCTGGAGTATTTTCGCATACCCTTTCATGGATCTCTCTCATGGCATAGTTAGATTCCTTTAGAGAGAGACAGCGGAGTAGCAGTAGGCAGTAGCTTTGCTTGTAAAGAATGTCTTGCAAGATTACATATCTTGATGCTCTCAGCCTTAGCTTCTTGGCTTCCACTGAATTGTCGGGGAGTGTGCCCTCTTCTAGATATGCCTAGATGGGTGTCATCTAGTCGTCATCAATGGATGTATAGTTGATGCTCCTTATATCCATTTTGAGCCTATTTGGCACAAATTGGTTGCCTATAAATGTGGTTCTTGGAGGGATACCTGAGGATGATGCAAACTTGGCAAGTGCATCTGCTATGGTATTATCCTCCCTTGGCACATATTGAATCTAGAAATTGTGGAAATTTTTAATAAATGTTGTATCATTTCTAGGAATGCCTACATCCTTTCTGTTGGAACAAAAATCCCAAGAGCTGTTGACAATGCGTATGTATTGAATATCAAAAAATTTCCTTTAAAGTCCTACAAAGCGAAATTAGGGTTTACCTTCGATATTTCTCGGGATTGATCTCATCTCAGCACAAATGCATAACAAAACAATGACTATAGCTCGGCGAACCTCGTGGGCTTCTATCGTATATCCCCCAACATTAGAATTCAGATGCAGTGTGGGCTGCTAAGACCTCCGAATCCTTGCTCTCTCTTTCAGCCTCCCTAAAAAATGGGAGTAAAGATAGGATGCTAAATTACAGAACCTAGACATCTATATATAGACTACTATAGAGACCTAAAGGAGAAATAAGGATCGGGCTCCCAATGGGCTTCGGATTCCTATGTCCAACCTAGAACAAACATCCTACAACTCATTAATAATAAGTCAATCCACTAAAGACTTATTATTGATCTCCTGGGCCTTATCTCAAAATTATATTCGAGCTCCTAATTATTATATGCTTAATAATCTCCCCACGTTTAATATTACAGATGTCCATCAATTAAATAAATTACTGACAATTATATTTAATTGACTTCTTTTATTCCTTGAGACCTTACCACTCAACTTATTTGTTATGTCGGATAATTAAATCTACTTGTAGGGTTTGACATGGACAAAACTTTTGAGCTTTCTCAAGAGGACATCATCAACCCATTTAAATACTAGGACATGGCTTCCTTTAATATTTAATTTTCACCATACAAATAACATCGTCTCCCAATTCATCGAGCTTATTAACCCAATATAAATCTCACTATTTGATGAATTAAAGTGTCAAACATTATATGCATGTGGCAATTAAATATTTAGGGATTAAGAGCATAAACAATCATAATAATCATGATGTATTCATTATCTTATTAAATTAGTAAAAGATAATAACCTCAACATGGTCTATTCAATACACAAAGTGTACTAGTGCAATAATCTGAGACATCAAACAATCTCATATAGTCAAGATAGACTATGCCAGAATATTACACTACAATCATACCGATGGTGTGTCCAATTCCAACTACGATTGTGAACATATACTCATATTATACAAGGATCCGATAATCTGGTCTTCTGTGCATAAGTCGAACTCTAAACACCATATTATCTACAATGTAAAATATAAGACACACATGCATACCATATATAAAATATAATACAAACATTTTGCCCATATAGATTATCAATAAAATTGAAAGAACAAACTTTCATTAATTAATAAAAATGAGTTTCACTACAAAAAACAAACTTTTAGTATACTACTCTATCACTTTCTTCTCTCGCTTCAAAATCCCATTTTACTTGGTTGACTTCCAGTTGAGAGTCATTGTAAATGGTGAGGTGTCCAGACTCCATTTTGATTGCTAAGCTTAGGCCTGAGATAAGCGCCACATATTCTGCATCGTTGTTGGAGGTTGCAAAATGGAATAATACGACGTAATTAAGGGGTGTGTCATTGGGGCTAATAAGTACTAGGCTTGCTCCACTCCCTTCACTGGTTGAGGACCTATTTACGTAAAGTCTCTAGTAAGGCGTAGATATAAGCACGACATCAAGGGGTACGAAGCCACTAGCTATTGGGAGGGCCCTCGAGGCAAGTAGTAGGGCACCGTGCAAGGGCATAGGGGAGAAAAGTGTTGAGGTGTTTGGGGAGCAAGGCACCAAGGTGGAGGTGTATGGGGAGGAAGGCGCCAAAGCTAGGGAGGCAGAGAAGTAGGGTACCAAGGCCAAGGCAGAGCATGACGCTAAGGCCTAGACCCCTAGAGAGCTGGGCGAGGCGCTTGGAGAGTTGGTCCAAAGGCAAGCAAGCACTGGGGTACTAGTCATGTATGCTGGTTCTTCTTTGCTGCCACCCTCCTCAGGCGCTGTGAACTTAGCCACAAAATTTGTTAACGCCTATGCCTAGATAGCTGCTCTCGGTTGGTACTATACGTCAAAATCAGCCAATTCAATGGCCCATTTAAGGAGCCTTTCGGACATATCTAGCTTTCCTAGTATTCTTTTTTAGCGGTTGATCCTTGACGACCATGATGGTGTGGCTCTGAAAGTATTGCCGAAGGAGCTTGCCTCTTGCTACTAGGGCAAAAGCTAGCTTCTCTAACCCTGAGTATCTTATCTCTGTTCCTCGATATGCCCTATTCACGTAGTATATGACCTTTGCACTCCTTCATTCTCCCTCACAAGGATAGAGCTTATAGATAATAGCGAGACAACTAGATACATGTACAAGATCTCCTCAGGTATGCAGTGGCAGAGCAAGGGGTGTAGTAAGATAGGCTTTCAATTTTTTGAAAGCCTTTTCATCATCTGGTCCCCACTCACAAGCTTTTCCTAGGATTCTGAAGAAAGGTAGGCACTTATCAAGAGACTTTAAGACGAATATGTTAAGAGTTGTCACTCTTCCATTAAGGTGTTGGACCTCTTTCACAATAGTCGGGGACCTCATGTCCAAAATAGCCTTAATTTTGTTCGAATTTGCCTCAATTTCCTTCTTATTGACCATGAAACCCAATAATTTTCCTAATCCCATGCCAAAGACGCATTTCTCAAGGTTCAACTTCATACGATAAGTCCTCAAGACATCAAAAGTCTTATACAAATGGGTCATATAGTCTAATATGGCAAGGTTCTTTACGAACATGTCATCCACCTATACCTCCATAGTCCTCCAGATTTATAATTGGAACATCTTGTTTACTAGTCGTTGGTGTGTTGCTCCTGTATTTTTGAGTCCAAAGGGCATGAGCCTGTAATAGTAGGTCCTTTTGGGAGTGATGAAAGATGTCTTCTTCTGGTCTAAAGGGTACTTGCTAATCTGGTTATATCCTGAGTAGGCATTTAGGAAGCTAAGTAGCTCATGACCAACGGTGGCATTGGGCTAGCTGTCTTTGGGACAGACTTTGTTGAGCTCAGTGAAGTTTATGCAAAGATGCCACTTTCCACCGGTCTTGGTTACCATCACAACGTTGGATAGCCAAATTAGGTAAGCCACTTCTCTCACCGACCCATTTGCTAATAATTTTTCCACTTCTATCTCCATGGCTTGTACCTTTTCAGTAGCTACATGTTGTCCGATTTTGATATTGACAATTTATGTGCAAGTATACACGATCTACAAGTAATAAAGTGATAAATAGAGTATCGTTCCCACGGAGAATTATTACTAATAATTTCTAAGTACTAACTTTATATCAATTCAATTTTATTTAAACAATTGAAATTAACTATGAATTCACTAATTTAAAACTAAATCTAAACTTAATAATCAAATATTTAATTTAATAAATAAAAGAATTTAAGATTACAACTTCCCCTAATCCTCGTATAAATCTTTCTACTCTCTTTCCAGTTAATTAATCAAAATAAGTTGTTAACTAAGAACTCAAAATTATTTATAAAATCTCTTCTGATAGTTAGATAAAAATATCTCTCCCAATTAAATCGCTATATTCCTATGTAAAATAAGTTGGAATAGATTCATTAAGTTTAAACTCTCATAAAAGTTACACACGACATATAGGTATATTTCTATCCTATACACAAACCCAACTATTTAATCCGAAGAAGAATTAACCAGATGCATGTCATCATATTCTGATCTAAACCTAGAATTCATCTTGCAATTTTATCTAGGTTATCAAATTAATTGTTGGCCACATAATCATATATTAAGCACAAAATATGACAAACAACTCATATATGATCAATAAGAACTAGAAACGAGAGTAGATCAATTTAACTAAACATCAGGTTCCGTTGTAATCTTAATAAAAATTTAGTTCATAACGTAATTAAAAAACATCATTCTCAAATTAAACAACATCTTACAAAATCAAGAAGTAAAAGTGAGAGAAAAGAATGAAAAATTAGTTGCAATCTTCAATCTCTCTCTAGCCTTCGGTTCCAATTTTCTTCACGTCATTTCCTTCGATTCTTGCCTTCAATTTTTCTATCAATCCTTGGTCAATCCCCTCTTAGCAGCCCCCAAAATCAGTATATCCCTTTTCCAACTCAAACCCTAGCATATATATAGCATTAGAGTTCAATTTCAGGTCAAAATAAGTCCACATTAAAATTGGCGCCTAGGTGCTTAAAATCAGTGCAGGAGCGCTGACTTTCTACCCTTCAAGTGCCTAGGCACTGGTCCTAGCGCAGCTGCACTGATCCCCTTTTAAGCCTAGAGCTGCCCTTGCTGCTTAGTCTTCAAAAATCCAACACTTAGGCTCCCAATTGACCTTGTTTCCTTCCAAATGATGATTCCTATAAAATAACATTAAAACACACAAAAAAAATAAAAAGGAACATAAAATACTTGAATTTTATAATTTCATCAAGCCGAGAGTACTCAATTCGTTAGTATAAAACCCACTCATCACTACGCTTCCTAGCTTTTGGTTGACGGGTATGTACTCGGGATCAACATTGAGCTGGTGAGTAGCGACTTTAGGGTCAATGCCTTCAAGATCCTTATGAGACCAGGCAAAGACAACAATGTTCTATTTGAGAAAATCAACCAGATGTCGGGCTCGACCTTTGGAATGCCAAGAGCCAATGTATACTCTCATGTTTGGAAAACTCTCGTCCAGAACTATTGGTGTGAGCTCCTCTACTGGTTCTGCACTCTCTAGTATACTATCATCCTTAGGGTCAAGCACTTCACTTGTAGTGTCTCTCGAGGATTTTTGGCCCTCATGTAAGCAACATAACACTTCTTGACAGTAACTTGATCTCCTCAAATTTCTCTAATTTTGCTTGGGGTTGGAAAATGGAGAATAAAGTGATAAGTAGATGGCACCCCTCTTAGGGTGTTTAGTGCGAGACGCCCTAAAATGATGGCAGATGGAGAATCCAACACTAAGAAATTCATCACTATGGTAGAGCTTCTAGGTGCTACACTTGCGGTAACTGGCAGAGTGATGAAGCCCAGAGGGTACACCTTCTTTTTTGGAAAGCAGATGAAGGGCGTCCTGATAGGTTGAAATCTTGGTGACGTCCTCAATGTTCATATATTTCTAGGCCTTTGACAATAACTCTGGCATACTCATTTGTGGTTTCTTCAAGGCCAAAAACATAAAACTAGATGAACACAGGCCTGCGATGGTAGTCAACTATTATTAGCGCTCGCGCCTTGATGTCGTTAAAGATGTTGCCTAATTGATTCGGCACGGCCTTAATTTTTTCATCCCATTGGTTAGGGATACCCTCTGAAAGACCATTGTAATGGTTTTCATGGTTCACGTACTAGTTTTTCCCCTCGTCTTCTTGCATATGAGGGTCACCAGTGCGAGAGGATGGAGTTGGCACATGAACAGGAGAAGCCAAGGCGCTAAAGAGGGATGCCTTAGTGCTGGGGGCACCCTGGTGCTGCAAGGGGGACCCTGGTGCTAGGGGCATTTTTGAGGGGTGCATTGGCACTAGGGGGCCTATTGATGAACACCTTGGTGACCTGGGTTGATTGCTTGGGGTGTTTCTCCTCTTGAGTGCTAGGGCACAACTTCTTGAGGGTGTCCGACGAGCATCAACTGGAGGATCTGTTGGTTTTGGTTCATCAACAACTACATTGTCTCCAGTAGTTGTTGTTCGAGATATCTTGCAGCGACAGGGTTTGCTGGTGGAGGAGTGACCTCGATGTGATGTGGTGGATCATTCTCTTCCATTTATTGATTCATGGACCTAGTCATAATAGCCATTTAAAGGGAAAGAAAGCACGAAGAAATGGAAAGACAGTAGAAAACTTAGTCATTTCTCACAGACGGTGTCAAACTGATGATGCACAAAATAAGTTTATGCACCACCTGTCAATTATTTAATGCAGTAATAAATAATGAGAGTCAACACAAGCAAAACACAATTTAAGTGGCTCGATCAAGGTGACCTACTCCACTGTGAAGGGCTTAGATAACTTGAGTGTTTTATTGCTTCAAAGAATGTTGGGTGCTCAAGTGTGAGTGATAGGTGAGATACTCCCTTAATGTATGTGAGACTTAAAATTTATAGGCGTCTTCTAATAGATTGAGATGTTTGTCTCATATCAGCTGAGGTAGTTTGGTGGAGGTGGCGCCCTTCTAATAAAAGGAGAGACATTTTTGTGGAGGTGGTGACGTACACATCCCAAGGAGATCCCTTCGTCTGTCAGTTATGGACTGAGTCTATCATCATAAGGCAGTTGACTTGGCTCTCTCTCAAGATAGCGTGATTGACCTAGCTTCCTCTTTCCTGTAGTGGGTCTGGCCTGCAATCCTAAACTGGGCCTCTGAGTTGGGACTCGACTGTAATTTTGGGTCTGGTTCATAATTTTGGGCCTACTCTGGGCCAGGCCCATCATATATGTATATATAGAACAATCCCCCACTTATTCACTAAAAGTGATGTAATAAGAAAAAATATTCGAGTACATTATAATGCATGCCCTGAGGTTAACGATCCTTTGAACTTAGGGCGGAACATGAAATTATGAACTTAAAATGAACAGGAGAACTACGTCTTGATCTTGATACATTCGAAATTTAAGAAACATATTCTCAGTATACACAGAGTTCACGGTCCTCTTAAGGCAGTGCATTAATAGGCCAAGCGTTGATCCCACTTAGCAAGTACTCTAGGGTTTTACTGAAAACCCATAGAAAGCGACCCTTACCTTCATACTCACAAAGGAAGACTCATCAAAGGTGTTCCACATCCGTTCTTTCACCCCACACAAAGTTATGAGTTCTGTTA